CATTCAAAACCATGATTGTGGTAAAATTCAATATAAGCCATGGCTTATATGCTTAACTGTGCTTTGCTTAACTATGCTTTTGCTTAACTATGCTTAACATACTTTAAAATGTCTTATATTATCATTTCACACTAGTACAGTTTGGCTCAGAAGCAAACTGTTATTGATACTGGATAGTACATTTTGAATGGATGGAATACACAAATAAATACTCCCCTTCTGCAAAGTCCAAGTAATCTATGAACACCTGCTTTGTAGCTGACATTTAAGCAACATCTCAATGTGCTTCCAGCTCTGATCACAGCATCAATCCTCTTCGTGATGTGAGGGCAGAGCTGGTAACCACAGCCCACCTAACTCTCGTCTCTTTCTGCTATTTCAATTTCACACTGACATTTACTTTTATGATTTAAAAAAAGAAAGGATAAATCAAATTGAAATTCAGGGACTACAGGGCTGCACGTATGCATAGTATATACACACACAAGCATTCATGCCCACATAAAGTCAAATACGCCCATTTATGCACACATAAACTTGCTTTCTGTAGCCCCAGGGGACATTAAATGTAATTTATGTGCTGAGTCAGGTAATCAAAAACACTGTTTGAAATACAGGGAGGGGAGCCATAGGAGACCAGAACACAAATTATATTAAAATAAGTTAATGTTTAGGACCCGCACAACATATACTAAATAACTTTTTTTTGTACTAAGTACACATTTGAACTTTTTCTTATTAGAACACGTGTCAGTAAATACTTCACATCAGACCCAATACATGTGAGAGTGTTATTATATATTATATACACCAATAGCACACTTATTTCAATTTAGTAGCACATTATGCCATTTAATAAAGACATTCAACAGAGTAGGAGCCAATCAAAATGGGCTGATATGGCTTAAAAGGTTTACACTATAATAAAGCAAATTCAGGAGATTACCACGGAAATAAAATATGAAAAATGATTTTATGTTGTTTCAAAAAGAGATGTGGTAACGATTGCACATTTCCAAGAAAAACTCCTTTTACGCTTCCCATTACAAAAAGTTGTGGATAGTACCTGCTACTTTCTTAGTACGACCTCGGTTAAAGTTTCAAGCACATTGAGACCATACACTGCATACCAATACTGTGACAAAAACCCCCGGACAAAATATCATCCTTATGGTTGACCAGGTGCAGATGACGTTGATGAAGTCAGTAAGGCAAACGTCTGATCAACATATCTACACAGAGTAGATACTATCTGCATTGGAATCAAAATGTTGTGAGGCGAGTTGAGTCGAGATTGCTATACTGTACAATGTGGTGGGAACACAGCTTGAGCAAAAATGGAGAGGCACTACTGAATGTGAGCGTATTGGTCATTCCTTATGGCAATTTCTTTGAATGGCAATCCTGCTTCATCATTTTGAATGTGTCCATCTGCATCAATTCTTATTTCACATATTTTGATTCTATACAATAACAATTCAAACAGTCACACACACAAACAAACACATGTACATCATATGAATACAAATGTATTCAACCCTATTGCATGGAAGTAAGAACAATCAGCCGCACACAAGAGCACCTGCAACCTCTCCAGATCTGTGGCTCACCCAGACACCCTCCAACTCATTTAAAATATGCACACACACACACACACACACACACACACACACACACACACACACACACACACACACACACACACACACACACACACACACACACACACACAATGGTAATCAGATTGTGATTATGGGGCTCGGTAATACAATGGACACAATGGCCAAGGTGTGCCAATGTTTCCCCGCTATTATAAAAGCTAATTCCTATCTGTACAATGGAATATGGCGCCAAATAAATCATATTTAGTGTGTGCTCATGTTCTAAAGGTGCAGGTTTGTGTGTGTGTGTGCGTGTGTGTGTGTGTGTGTGTGTGTGTGTGTGTGTGTGTGTGTGTGTGTGTGTGTGTGTGTGTGTGTGTGTGTGTGTGTGTGTGTGCCTGAGAGGGGGACAAGGGCTGAATGATTAATGGTCACAGTGCAATATTAAAACATTAAAATACATTATATAGGAACACATAGATGCAATTAACTGTGAGCCAGATCAGATAGACTGCACAGTCAATAGCTCTTGCAATGCTGGCAAGGGATGTAAATATAGAAGCAAAACTGTAACCTGTGTGTGTGTGTGTGTGTGTGTGTGTGTGTGTGTGTGTGTGTGTGTGTGTGTGTGTGTGTGTGTGTGTGGGGACTGCAGGGTTCTGTTATATCTCTCCAGTCGTAGAGAGGTGTGGAATGTTAATGGGTGTGTTGTGAATACAAGAAGCACGCTTCATGTGTCAGTGTGTGATTATGTAGACATTCTGTTGTGCTAAAGGTTAGCATATATATTTGTTTTTGTGTGGGTTCAACAGTGAGAAAGGCCCTATACCACCAACACAGGAACCACTAAAACATTGAACAGTATGTCGGGGAAATACAATTAATCAAACTAAATGCTGAGAATGACAGTGGGTGCATGCAGATAGACAGGACCTATGACGGGGACACAGAATAGAGAGAAAAAAGGCATATGATCTAAAAAGTGTGGCAGTTGAAAAATAAGGTGAAGGTGATATCTCAATGCGAAGAAGAATATGACATCTCAGAGATGAACGAGAGCAAAGATAGGAATCAAAGTAAACAAGGCGGTGAAACACAGATAGAGAGAAGCTGCAGTACGATAACAAACTGTACTGAAATATACACTAAAGTTTCTAGCCATGAAGGACACACCAACCACAGTTTATATACACGCACATCAGCAAAGCCATTGATGTTAAAAAACACACAGGCAGGCATGCAATAATGACGCTCTTTCTCTCATTCACACATACACCAACCATCTTTCCCCTCTCCTCTCCCTCCCTGCATTGATTGTTTAGAGGTGCAGGTCCTGTATCGATTTCTCTTAATCAGTTTCAAATGGACAATTACGGCAATGTCACCAACTGTTACTTGCAACTACCCTGGAATAGTATGACTATTTAAATCAATGGTAATAAATCATACCTTATATACAGTTAATAAACAAACATGCATTTTGTGATAACCGTAATTAGATATGTTTCTCCGTCTTGGTTTCTGAGTTACAAATGAGGGTATGCTGCATTTCAAACAAGAGGACAAACACACTAGAATTGCTAAATATGACCCTAATAAGAGAGCTTTTCAGTAAGCAAAAACATGTATACAAAAATGTCTTTAGAGGATTATGTGATAAGTGGAGCTCTTTAAGTAAAGCCACTGAACCTAATTGTATTGAATCATCCAAGCTAATTCATTGATATACTGTAGGACAGACTGACATGCTGTATACATGTACAGTATACACACATATCACTTCAATGTCGTTTCTTTAATCAGTACATTCATGTTATTTTGTTATTAAGCTCTAAATATGATAATCAGTATATGCATCACAGGATATGCTACACAAAAATTGTCAAGACAACACCCTAACAAAGTATCTTTTTGATTTTGTTTTAAATACAATTGACATATGTGTGTAACTAAGACTATTAGCAATAAAGTGTAAGGCAGATGCTGTCTAAATCATCAAATAAAGTACAACATGTCAACAATAACATCTATTTGTATTGGTCCAAAATTGAACCCACATAATACCCATTACTACGGAGCCCTGGAGGGTTCATTGAGAGAAAAATAAATAAAACGTGGCCACGTTTTACTTTCTCGTTCGCACGAGTTAATAAAGCGTGCGCATGTAATAAAGCGTGGCCTCGTTTTATTTAAATTGAGGGATTCCTGTCCGTGACTCACAGTATCTGCTGCCCACAGCTGTTTTATAGAATGAAAACCTCCTTTACTTTATTAAATCTCTGCGGCAACAGTGGCCTGTACTACGAAGCAGGATTTGCTATTTACACTATTCATTCACGAAGTATGACGCTGCGCTGTCAGCACGCGTCTCCATGTTTGTGATTGGTCAAATGTTGCTAACCCCGTCCCTTTCACGTGAACACGTTCTCAGCCGGTCAGAGAAACCCTGGTTGATTTACTGAGTTGATAACCAGCTTCGTAGGACCGCTTATCGACATCGCGTTTGTTAGGGTTAGTTAAGCCGGGTAAATCGAACATATTCAGGGTCTGTTGAACTGGCTTCGTCGTACAGGGCACTGGAGGCAGTAACGTGTAACTCAGCAGAATCTGAGAAAAGCAGCACCAGCTGCAAAGAGCTGTGCCTTTTACTGTTTACTTGACTGCGTTTCCCTTCATTAGAACAGCTGACTAGAGATCGAGGCTGCTACGTTTAACCACACACCTCTATACACATCGAACTACCAGAGTATTCCCCCTCGTTTTATGAAGGAGATGTCCTGTCACCGGGGCGCAGTGTGTGTGTGTGTGTGTGTGTGTGTGTGTGTGTGTGTGTGTGTGTGTGTGTTCAGCTCCGCTCTGTGTGCGTGTTCGGTGTGTGTGTGTGTCCGACACCGCCGGCATTTGTTTTCAAATTACCACGAACAGTAATTTACACAAATCTGGTTCTCCGTAGTTATATGTGTATTCCCAAGTGAAAGAAATGT